TATCAACTTTCATTCTGAGAAAACAGAAGATGCTGCTAATAGTTTTAAAGAATTTGGTAGTAAAGACAAGAGATGAAATGTAGAGCTCTTATTAGCCAGAGTGGTGATTTTCTAACTGATAGAGGGATAGTTTTGTTTCTCACCTATATGTCATACTTCAGTGACAGTAATAATAGCTGTGCTCTACATTCCTGTTTTTCAGAAACTCCTTTCTGTAAAGATCAGTAGAAGGCCTCAAATGACAGAGATGGTGTTGATGGAAACCACCCTTTCCGTCATCCTGAAACATTCCCTAATTACATTCCTTATTTCACAGAACCTCCCATCTTGAACGTCTCTAGGCTTCCTCCACATTTCAGTTAGAGTTCTCACACTACAGTAAGATATGCTCAGGAAATTAGAGACTGTTGACCAGAGCACATCCTCCATGCCTTTGCTATCAACAGATCAGTTGTATAAATGTGAGTTTTGTTTGCGTGAAGATTAAAACTGAAATTCATGAGACATGACTTCAACATGGGTATAAAAAATGAAAAGTGAAGTACTGTGTACATGTATGTTGTGACACTAAGCAGTGCAGCCTAGACTAGGGAAAGACTTTATCCAAACAGTACACATAGGTTTGCCCAAAAGGTATATCACTAGTTGTTTAGGGCTATACATGTGTTAACTTTAGAACCATATAAATTAGAGACTTTTTTGAATCCATCAATTAGCTCTTATGAACAGCTGCATTGGTATCAAGCAGATTATCTGCAAACAGTAAAAGCTATAATGCTGTGCTTATGCAACATAAGAAATATTTTAGGCTTTTAGAAGTGAATATTATCTTAAGTTGTGCAATAGCAGAGGTAACAGGGACAACCACCATGTACTTTTACTGTCCTAACATTTCCCCACAAAAGAGAGGCTTAATGCAGACTGCATAACACAATTATAAAGAAAAATTAAATTACTCAGGTGACTGTACACTTGGGAGGAAGGGAAAAAAAAGAAAGTAGGACATCATGGAAGGAAAATAGGTTTATTTTGTTTTGTAACTATGGATTCTATAACATTAAAATGAAACTAAAGAAAAGACCAATTCTGTGCTCACATCCAAGAACTCAGAAGCTATTGCACATGCTAGACACGTTTACTAATAGGTTGTCAGGTTTGAAAAATCAACTGAGAAATACTTACTAAATTTGCAGATGAAGCAAAGGTGAGAGGATTAAAAGTGCGTCAGGGGGGTGGATTGAGGATGATCATGACAAATGAGAGCAGCGTTCTGAAAGAAATAGAAGCAAATTCAACGTGAAAATGTGTGTCTATTCCTAAGAATAGTGTCTGCGCCATTACAGGATGTGAAAAGCTGGGCCAGACCAAGGATTCACATTAATGCTGCACCCAGGCTTGCACACTTCAGGAAAGATGCAAGCCACATAACAAGACCAAAGGAGAGGACTAAGATGAAGTAACAGTTGTGACCTACATGGCTAGAAAAGTGTAGGGGAACATTAAAGGGGCTTAGTTAGTAAAACAGGCAGCAGGCAGAAGTAGAACACAAAAATGTTTTTCAGGTGCTTAAAAAGTAAATGCAAAGGAAAGAAATAGTTAGCTCTCCTGGCGCACGGTATATAGGATGAGCACTGCTGAGAAGAAAGGCAAATGAGAGTAGGAGGTTAGGAATAACTGTGACTATGAACAGTTACGCTCTGCAGTAAATTGCCTAATGACATGGAAAATCTCCACTGGTAGAGATACCTGAGAAAGTTAGATAAATGTCTGGCAGGAATATCACAGGTATTATTAAATGCAGATGGACATGATAGATATCTTCTTGATCAATTTTCTCTCCTTCCCATGAAATACATAAAAAAAAAAAAATACTTTGTTTTTCTCTAGAGTCATTTATGTTTCCCAAATCGTTTTAGCTTGAGGCATTTTGTTTGATTCCAGTGCTGAATAACTATTGCTTGCCAAATCTTGGCTGCTGTTGCTTATATGGACCCCGTGACTGAGGCTGAGGAATCTGTGTATTCACATTAGAAGCCCTCTCAACAGACCCAGAGGAAGGAGTAGTTGGAAAAGTTGCATTTGAGCTTATATCGCAACATCCAGGTGTGGGTATGGGCTTTCACTGGTAGAATCCTGAGACAAGAACAACATGTTGTATCTTTTAGGAAAAAATATTATATGAAAATTTTATTACTCGTTGAGAGACAGGCTTTATAAGATGAACGTACTAAAATGCTGTCAAAATTTCAGTCAGTCTATCAATACTGAATGACAGAAATACAGTTACCACAACAAGAGGAAGTCATAACAGTACTTCCTTCCAGGATAAATTAGCACAGCAACAGTTTCAGAAAACTTGTTGAGATTCATTGCTACTACCCTTCAGTTGTCACTGTGTTTGCATTTCATTCCTTCTTAAAATGTCAACTATGACTGCCTGTGTCCATGTATGTTGACAGAAAGGTCTTGGAGCAAGGTTTTGGTTCCCCTGAGTCAATGAGCTTTGTCAGTGTCTTGCATGGGGTCAGGATTTTGTCTCCAGTCTTTTCTTTTTCTTCTTATTTAATAGCAGGAATTTTCATCATTTGTATCCTTGCCTTCAGAACAGTAGACAGAAGTCCAGGGTCCTTGGGAAACTTGAGAATCATGGGAATGATTCTTTTTCTAAAAGTAAAATTAAATAAATTAGAACTGGAGCAGTGTTACATGAATGGGCTTCTGAAAGCTGGCTAGACCAGTGGCGAATTCCTTGTGCTTATTTTTGATATGATATGACACTGGAACTCAAATGTTTAAAGCTGCCAGATATGTTCATGTCTTTCTCTCAGAATAGGAAATAATGGACATGTTTGTGAGTGTCCTTCAGATGCTCTAAATTCCAGGTTGTGTAATCACCCTGTGTCAAGCTTGAGAAGAAAAGTACGTGTTGCAATTACTCCCCTGGGATAATTGTTGTCTTGTTGAACAAGAATTTCTTTGCCTCGCTCAGCCAATCCTGAAGTACGGAGCACTTTAAATAACAAATAAAATAATTGAAATCATATTTTTTTTAGTGAGTGTGGTGCCTTGTATAATCAAAAATGTTTTTGGTTGGATTCACATTCCGTGCTGTATTATTCAGCACCACCTCTGGCTCTGAATCCCAGCAGCTGCCCTGGCTCCCAACCTTTACCTGGCAAACATCCTCCTTCAGAAAGCCAATGTTTGCAGGGAATAAGGAACAGAATGGAGCAGCTACATGTGTGTCTTCTAGATACAGTAATATTTGATTACTTAAGAATTTGAGAAAACCCTTATCTTCCATGCATTAACAAATTTAATATTCATTTTTGAGTGACTGGATGATTCTGCACTTGCTAGGTCTGTCCCAAAGCTGAGAGAGATGAAGCACTCATCTTTTTTTTACAGATGCTTTTAGCATATTCTTTGCTGTTTTTTTCTTATTCTTTCCACAAACAAATAGTGTCCTGGTTTCAGCTAGGAGAGAGTTAATTTTCCTCCTAGTAGCTGGTATGGTGATGTGTTTTGGATTTAGGATGAGAATAATGCTGATAACACACCGATGTTTTAGCTGTTGCAGAGCAGTGCTTACACAGAGACAGGGACTTTTCAGCTTCTCATGCTGCCCTGCCAGCGATGGGATTAGGGGTGCACCAGGAGCTGAGAGGGGACAGAACCAGGGCAGCTGACCCAGACCGGACAAAACGATGTCCCACACCACATGGCAGCATTCTGAATAATTAATATAGGGTGGCTGGCTAGGGCAGGAGGAACTACTGCTTGGGGACAGACTAATTATTATTTCTCTTCCTTTTCTGTCCTATCACACTGCCTTCATCTCAACCCCTAAGCTTTTACTTTTTTTCCTCCTGATTTTTTTCCCCCATCCCACTGGGAAGAGGCAGGTGAGCAAACAGATCTGTGGTACTTAACTGCTGGCCAGGTTAAACCACAGTTATGGTACAGGTTTTCTTGTTTTTACTTTGGTGGAACTGAACCATCCTTACTTAAAGATTTCCCAATGCATTTCTAAATGTATTGTTGCATTTTCCATTTTTAATCCTCCTCTGAACTATTGTTGTCTGTAGTTTATTGAGGCCATCTTGAGACAAAAGAAACCGAAGAAAATAAAAATAAAATAATAATCCATTTTCCTTCCCTCAAAGACTGGGGGCTAATTATGTCAGTATGTGCATCTTTTGGAAATAAATCAGAATCTGAGTTCTTTTCAAACAAACAAAAAAAAAAAGCCAGGAATAAGATTTGATTTTTCACTATCACTGTTCAAGGGAGCAGGAATAAAGATAGCAAAATCTTTGCACTGCGGTTGTAAGTCTGGTGACTTAATGCACAGCATCTGTACATCACAGGAGAGTCTTGCATAGTACTCAGTTGGGCACATAATGAAGATATTAGGATATAAGTTGAATTTGTGAAAGAGAACTTGGAGCAAGCTCTTTTTCAAAGGAGAACTCAATAATGCTTCAATAGGATGTGACTTCTGAAAGCCTGATTTAATGAATCCACCTCCAGCATGTGCTTTGTCCCTCCACTGCAGAATCTTATTCTCATTACACTATTCCTTAAAATAATTTCTTGGGACCAAACAATGAGCATTATATTGAGGCGCATTGCACTAACAGAGGATTTTTGTCTTACTAATCTTTTATATATATATATATATATATATATATATATATATAAAAACCCTCCAAGTACATGTTTAGACCTTTCCAGCAGATGAGTGATTTCAACATAAAGCATCCAATTTTTTTATAATTTTTTCTATCTTTCTCATGGAATGAAATCTTATCAAAACTTAGAGATTCATTCTGTCTCTTTGGGAATATCCTTGACAATAATGTGCATCTAAACCATTCTGGCCTGTGGAAGAAGCCTATTGCATCCCTTGTGGTGCATGGCTGTTTCTTGAAAAAACAATATGATTCTGTGCCCTAATTTGGCAGCTCAAATTACTCCATTTTTTTTTTTTTTTTCAGGCAGGAAAGCTGGCAACCTGGGAACATTCTTTCAGATATCAGTTTTGTCAGAGATATGATTGATATCAGAGGTATGATGTTTCTGGATTCAGAAACATTGTTTCTTCTTCCAGTACTGCATTTAAATATGTTATTAGAATAGCAAATCATACTGTCTACTCAGAAACACCTTTGAAAAGAAGATTCATATGGCTAATAGAAACAAGCTACAGGCACATACACATTTTCTCTGCTTCATCCATGAAAGAAGTCTGTCTGTGTGAAAGGCTGATGTGTAAAATTCCCCTCTCTGTATATCACCCTCCTCCTAGGATGTTTAATGTTTACTCACTAATTAAATGCTATAAAGAAAAGATAATATTTTATGCACACAGACAAGAACATGGCTTTCACAAATTTGAGTTAGTGAAAAATCTTGGAAACACAGAAAAACAAGAAAAAAACAGTTGTTGCTTGTGCTTAGGATTTGGAGACTTCTGATGCTTCCCAGTAGGAATTGCTCACTACCTGTTCTCCCTGTCCTCTGTTCTGGGTACCAGCAGAAACCTTGCATTCTAAAGTAATTGAATGTACTTGTTAAAAAAAAAATTCTCCAGCTAATTCCGCCTTATACTAGATTTACTGATCTGATTGCCAGTTTTCTTGCCATTTTCTCTCTATTCTCATAGTTTTTAGTGTTCTGGAATTCAGTGGGGAAAGAGTTTTTATTCTTTCATTTCTCTTTCTGTGCAGTAGATGAATGGTGGTCATTCTTTGCTGTTTCTCATGGATTATTACTTCTGTCCACAACAGTGCATATAATATATGAAAAAATCATTTTAATACCTGTAATTTTGCCTTCCCTCAGGATTTACTATGTATGAACAAGTTTTCTTGTTATTAAATTAGTAATCTGTCTTATGTTTGGTCTGATATGGCATTTCTGTTTTGGGGGTTTGTCCGAATGAAGGCAAGAAGGAGGATTACATAAAGTTAAACTTTCACATATTGTGAACCTACTTACTTAGTTCAAAGCGGCTCTTAGTGGATTTGTTTCATGTGTCTTCTGCCCTGACAGTTGCTTTTAGGAAAGCTCCATTGGTCAATTAGTGCATTAGATCAGAAATGGCATCATTTTTCAAAAAGAGACAGGACAATTCCTTAAGCCTCCGTTCATCTGGTTTGTTACTGGAAGTTTAATTTGAAAGTGGCAGACCCATCATAAGAGAAAACAAAAGACCAAAAGAAGAAAGAATCAATTTAGCCCTTTTATATGAATATGCTATGAAGTGTTATATGTTATGCATTTCAACATTAGACGTGAAGGATTTTGCTAGGATTAATCCCAACCTCATTACATGCAAAGCATGACACTATTTCAGTTTCATTGTTTGCAAGCAGTCTTATGGAGAGGGGGTGGTGGGTGGTAAGAAAATAAAGCCCATGGCAGTGGGATTGTAGAAGAAAAAAATACTGTATTCAAAACATTTTTTTTTTCATTTAAAACCTTTTTATCATTTTTTTTGGATTTTATTAAATCAATGTTATTTTTCATACTTGTACTTTGAATATTAAGGGTTTAGATTCAGGTTAACTGTTTAGATTCAAGTAACTGATGGCTGTAATAGCTGCTAAGACATCCTAGTTAACCTGTGTTGCTACTTGTTTTGTGTATTTTATTTTATTTTATTTTATTTTATTTTATTTTTTATTATTTTTTTTTTGTAGCTGCAAAAAACATCTAATCTGCTACCTGCTTCTGGCGAGGAGAGGAGAGGAGAGGAGAGGAGAGGAGAGGAGAGGAGAGGAGAGGAGAGGAGAGGAGAGGAGAGGAGAGGAGAGGAGAGGAGAGGAGAGGAGAGGAGAGGAGAGGAGAGGAGAGGAGAGGAGAGGAGAGGAGAGGAGAGGAGAGGAGAGGAGAGGAGAGGAGGGGGATGGGGGCTTGCTTTTTGTAAAGTCTAACTGAAAAAACTATTTAAAATTGCTTTAGCTTATGGGTAGCTCCATATCCATGCTATGTTTAGTTTCTGAATAGCCTCCGAGGATCTGAGAATTAAATCAAAAAAAAAAAAAAAAAAAAAAGCAAGCTTAATTGTTAAAGGAAGTAAAGGAAGTTGTTAGTTTATTTTTTTTTTTATTATTTGTTTTTCCCTCCTCAGCTTTCCATCCTTTGTCCCAAGGGATACCTTAAATTATTTATTTTGAAAATTCTTGCTTCACCCTGTGTTAGATGTTTGTGCTAAAATTGTATTGACATAAACATCTGCACAAATCTCAGTTCAAAAGAATACTTAGTTGAGGGAATTGTTACGGAAACAGCTGCCAGCTGACATCCTGTTACTGCAAGGCTGGAGAGGCTGGCATACAACTAACATTTTTCCCTTTCTGCCTGTTGTGCATAGACAACTGAGTTGGCCAGAAATTGTATTTCATGTAGTAAAGAGTGAAAGATTGGGCCAGATATTCTAAACAGCCTGAGTGTTACTGACTCCTCATTAATTATTTAGCATGGTTTTGCTCATTTACTGTGACCATCTCAAAAAAATCAGGGATATATACAAATTTTAAAGAAGCATAGATGTACCATAACACGGTACCATAACATCCCTGTACACATGAGAAAAAAAAATAGTACGGGGGAAAATTGAGATAGTGAAATAATTGTCTGATCTTAGTGTAGGTTCTGCCTTGTCAATTTCTATCAACAGGTTTAGTCAGAATCACTGTTTGTTTGTTTGTTTTATTGTTGTTGTTTTCCCTTTTAACTATAAGGGCACAATTACAGTTTTATAAAGCAATTAAATTTTATTTTCATAATTGCTTTATTACTTTTCACTCTTAATTGCCAAAAGGATAAGAGGTGATATCAGATGGGGAAAGGTTTTGGGGGGGAAGAAAGAAAAGATGACATTTTTCAGTATTTTTTATCTTCTAAACTGAATAAGATTAAGGAACGCTAGCATTGGGTTTTGTGCATGTATTGCAATGCCAGGAGAACATTCTGTTTTCACTGATGTAAGAGTGGGAGTTGTCAGAGAAGGACATCAGGCATTTCTTCTCCATACTCTAGTTAAATCCAGAAATTTGATGGCGCAAGAAACATAACACCTGTTTTGTCAGATTTCACATTTTAATGGATTACTGTTGTATTCCACAAGTAATGTCATTTTTATCTAATACATGATGTGAAGGGCAAGGATCTTATATAGACCTAGATGATAATTGCCCAGTAAATGTTTCATGTGCAACTAAGACAGTGATTAATGCTTGACAGATGAAACGGGAATAGAGAGAGCGCCCATCAATGCCTTTTAAAGGATAACAAAGCAATATGCTTGCATTTGGTTTTCAAAGCTCAGGATGATGAGAGGAGATATACAGCTGTTAGATATCAATGTATTTATGGCTTATGTGTGCCTCTGTCATGAATGACATTGTAAAAAAAAAAAAAAAAAAAGTTCTTCACGTGCACTTTTGATGAAATAAAGAAATACGATGTATCATTCTGTCAAGATTATTTTACTTGTCCATTCATTCAAGGTAGGGTAAAAGATCTTGTTCTTGACTTCATATTTAATCATCTAAATGCATGCCACATTTGGGCTTTTATTTTTTGGCTTATACAAATCATATTGAATGCCTGACAACATAAAGACAATTTTAGAGATAGCCGTGGGTTATTATCTGTTTTACAGGTTATGGGCTTGAAAACTAGAAAATTTATCTTTCAAAAATGTGCACTAACAAACAGGGCTTTGTCTGATAATATTTGATAAGAAAATATTTTATAGCTCTCTAAATCAAAACATTCATGGTGATCTTATTTCACCAAGTCATATTTATTTGTTGGTTGTTTTAAAGTACGGTAATGGCCAATGAAATCCTGAACATTGGTATGTTTTGACAATGTGAGAGTATTTGCTGACAAAATCATTCAAGATCCATTCAAGATAGCATTTTAGCCACTCCAGGCTTTTCTCAGAGCTGACGTTTCCCTCTTTGAGGTGTCTGTACTTCAATGGCTGTACTGCTGCATGGGTGCTGTAACAAAAAATTTGGAAGGACCCTTGATAACAAAGGTTTCCCTTGAGTGGGAAGGGAAAGAGCCTAGATCATTACCCCGAGGAAAAAATAGTGTGTCATAAATTACTATAAAGCAAGTAGTCTTTCTGCAAGTACAAACTCATCAGAGACTTGCTGTGCCTGAAGTTCCTTGGGAGGATAATAGACAAGAAGAACCAACACCCTGATGCTCACCTTTCATCAACCCATAACAAAAGTCACAGCCCTGACATGCACTGCTAGGCACCATACACACCATTTCCTAGGAGTGGCAGTTTATAACATTTTCTGTCTTTTATTTATTTATATTTTACTTGTTTCATTTAAAAGCAAGTGAAAGCCATATACCCATTGTCAGCAGAGTATTCTCTTTGTTTCCTTGTGAGAAGGTATTTAACAACTGAAGCAAATTAAAGCATGCAGTCATTTTACTTAGAAAATGAGCTAGTGAAATTGTACGTATATACGTACAGTACATTGTATGTATATACTGTCCATGCCTGTACTGATGGATAGCTATTATTCTAATACAGATGAGAAAAAGTTACAGAGGCTAAACAATATGCCGTTGGCCAATAGAATTATAACACTGACTTTTATGAATAAAGTAAAACAGAATGATACACTTAGGTTTGAAATGGATTCACCAGAAAACAAGAAAAATAGTCTCTAGATGTTTTGTTTTCTGCCCCCCCACCCCAGCTTTCAGGAGAATTTCCTGAAGGTTTTTATTTTGTTCTTTTTGGGCTTCTAAAAACCTTGTTCTCAGGCATCCTTGATGCTTGTGAAAGAAGTTTGAGAAAATAAGTAACTTTTACTTAAATGCTCAGAAATGCTCAGAAAGTGGCAATAACGTTCATTTAATGGTATGACTTTTACCCTTTACCTGCAATGCTGTCAGATGTCTGACAGAAACACTTTAAAGCAGTTCAGACTCTGCATCTCTCAGCAATATTTCATTCTGGCTCATGTCCTTAAGCTCTGAGTCTCAAAGTTTAAATGCTAACAGTGTGCACTTAATACTGATGAA